TTCCTTGGGGGCAGCCAGTACTCGGGCAGCCTGTGAGTACCCAGTGGGCACCAGTAGGACTGCCTAGGAGACACAGGTTGGGGGAGGCAAACTATACTTTGCCCAGACTCTGACATTCCAGCCTCCTCTGAGGATCCAGGTGATTGGCGGGAGCTCTCCTGCCTCGAGCATCCTGAAGTTCTGTGGCATTGACGGTGTCAGTGAGGGTTTCAGATAGGAAACAAGAGATCTGGGTTTAATTCTAGACCTTGTGTTTAGTATATTGTGTGCCCTTAAGCTAGTGGGTTCCCCATTTCTGTGCCTCAGTTTGCTCCTTTAAGATGTGAAGGACTGAATGAGATTGTACCTAGGGTCATCTCAGCTCCTTGATGTGAAACTCCAGTTACAAACCAGATATTCTGGAGGGTTGGTTGACCAGGTGTTCCAGTAGAGAACTTTGGTCCCTTAGGGGCAGAGAGTCTGGAGGGATGTAGGCATAGTGAAGTGGGGAAGCCTGGTTGATGAGATACCCTGAAGATAGAGTCCCTCTGTGAAACAGTGAGGGCAGTCTTGATGTGTTTTCACTGAAGGAAAAGGGGTGGGGGAGGCCTCTTCCCCATTTCCTCATCTTCCCTAGGCAGGCTTACTCTTTCCTAGTTCCCTCCAAGGGCCTGAGTCACTCCTGAGGTGGGGGTGTGATTGCCTTTGACTTCTTCCTTCCCTCTCTCTGGATACTGCCCTTGTTCCTGTGGCCCTTCAACCTGCTGGTCAGTTCTGCCTGGAGTATGCCCGAGTTCCCAGGTGCCAGGCCCATGCTGCATTCTAAGGAAAAAATAAACATTTCAAGGTGCTCATCATCTGGAGGGAGAGATACTTAAAAACAGTTGGTTTCAATATAATACATTAGGTTTAGCCTAAAGATCATCAGAAGGTTTTGTGAGCACTGTGGAAAGGGATCTTTTGCCCTGTTGGGAATGCAGTTGAGGCTGTTTTGAATAGTGAAGAATAAGTAGGATTTAGTCATGGCTGTGTATGTAAGGGTTGGGGGAAGCCCTGGGGGAGGGTGTCACAAACAGGGTTTATAAGACAACAAAAATCAGAAAACCTTTGATTGAGAGCTAGTGTTCTGGGTCCTACATGGGGAAGTTTGACCCTGGGTTTTCCCATGCATGAGGACACATTGTTGTACTCAGTTTATAGATGAAGAACACAATTAGAGCAGTTGAGTGAATTGTCTCCCTCAAATTACCTGCCTTTGTATGATTAGTGGTTCCTCAATACCAGTCTGTCCTAAGAAACTTGGTTTGAATTTTACTTTAGAGGGTCCGTCTTGTGGGCCAGGCACTGTATTGTTGCTATTTCTTTGTGACTTTGACTCTAAGATCCATCTTTTTTTTTTTGGGGGGGGAGAGGTTTTTGCTATAAGGCGCAAGCACTTGCCAGAAAGACAGAGACAGAGAGACAGAAAGCGAGAAATCACCCCCCGGGGGAATGGCCATGCTACAATCCCTTCTCCTCCATTCTCCTCTCAGGATCTTGGGGACGCATGCACACATGCCTGGTGTGAGTTTAAACCACCGGGTCTGGGACTCAAACCGCTGTCGACTACATGGGAGTCCAGCGTACATAGTCATTACGCTAACTGCTGGTCCCTAGGATCCATCTTTCATGCCTGAGGACTCTACCTCTAATGCAAGACTGACTGGCACACAATACCTTAAATACCTTCAGGGAATCCTTGTGATCCAGATCTGCTGGTCTCGTCTTTTTTTTTTCCCCCTCCCAAATAATTATTTTATTTAACTTTATTTTACTTATTTTACTTTGACTAGAGAGGGAGGGAGGGAGAGAAATGGAAAGTGAGAAAGCAAGCTGCCAGGTCTGCGACTTGAACCATGGTCAGCCATATGGGAGTCCAGCACCCTTAACCACCTGCAGGCCCCCTCTCTGGTCTTCTTTCCCACTATCCCTCACCATGTATTTTGTGCCATAGGCCTGATGAACTGTTCGGTTATTGGTAAAGTTGTGACACATTTTCGCATAAAAAAAGAAAAATACATCATGACTTTTCCAATGAAGTAGTTGTAGTTGCTCCCTCTTTTGTATTCAGGATGTCACACTTGCCAGGAATAATCTTCTCTTCTTTTGACTGCTAATTTCTACTTAATCCTTCATGGTTTATTTCAGTTGTCTCCTTCTCCATGAAGCCTTCCTGATAGTCATTGCCCCCTGCTCCATTTAGCTGCCTCTTCTGTACATTTATGTCATTACATTTCTTATAACATATTGTAGTTATCTCCCTTCTAGGCTGTGACCTTCTTGAGGTCAGGAAAGGTATCTTTTTTTTTAAAGAATTATTTTATTTAACTTTATTTAATTAATTATTTAAATTTGATCAGAGAGGGTCAGAGTAAGAGTGAGAGAGAGGGAAGTGAGAAAGCAAGTCCCCAGGTTCAGGACTCGAACCGCAGTTGGCCATGTGGGAGTCCAGTGCCCTCAACTACCACACCACCTGCCAGCCCCAGGACACATATCTTACTTTTCCCAGCTCTTAGTAGAATGTGGAACTGATTTATGACAAGGATGAATAAGATGGTCTCTCTCTGTTTAAAGAGCTGCTAGGACAAAAGAAGCTAACATTAATGAGTCCCTTCTGTTGAACAGTCTTTTACATATAGTTTCTCAATAGTCCTCTCATACTTTCTGTTATCGGTGGTGGCGTCCCTTTTTATAGCGAGGAAGAGACTCGGTTATCGCTTTCCAAGACTCTACTACCATCCTCTTTTTTTGTTGTTTATTTATTTCTCCCTTCCATGAGCAAGAGAGAGACAGCACCCCCAACAGGGTCTTGATGCAGCTATTCACTCCCATTTTCAGCCAGCCCTAGATGGGCACACAGCATCCTTGGGAGAGATCTCCAGATGAGAATCCAGAACCTTCTCATGTGGTTCAGTCTTACAGAGCATGTTTTACTATTGCTCCACCAGCCAGCACTCTAAGCTCCCCATTCCTAAATGACAAGACTAGAATGCGAATTTAGGTCTGTCTGGTCTCTAAATTCAAGCTCTTTCCTCCATTCTACCTTCCTGCTGGTACTGGCTCCTACAGGTAACTTTCAGACTGATAGAATACCTCGAGTGTGAAGCTCTGATCAAATAGTGGGCAAGAAGAATTTCATTAGCCTGGGAATCTGGGGTGCTTTCAGGGAGGAGGAGGTCGAGGACATTGCAAATGGCCCAAGGGCTCTGAAGAGTTGGATAGGATGAAGCTCAGTTGCTTCTAAGGAGAAGTGCATCTGTTCTGTATTTTATTTTATGGAAAATAATTGCTGTTATTTCAGCATACCTCTTCAGGTAGATATTATTTACTCTTTCCACCTTACAAATGAGGAAATTGAGGCTCAGAAATATTATGTGATTTGCCCAAGATCACACAATGAATAAGTGACAAAGCTATGACTGGGATCCATATCTTAAGCAAAAGGTGGCCTTTAGGTATTCTGTACTCCTTTCCCAAATTTGGATGTGTTAGAAATGGGATTTGAGCACAGCCTTCAGAAGAGAAAGAAGCCCTTTGAGTGTGGCGAACTAGGCTCTTGGGTAGTCAAATGTCCAGACATCCTGATGTTTGTTTGATAGCTCACAAAATACCTAATTTCTCATTTGACCCTGAGAAAATGGCTCACCTCAGCTCCCCTAGCAATCCAGGTTTTATACTATTGCTACTGACCCTTTTTCATGCTCTCCCCACCTTGCAGGGAGAGCTCCATTCCCGTGGATGTGGCTCGACAGCGGGAGCTTAAGTGGCTGGAGATGTTCAGTAACTGGGATAAGTGGCTGTCACGGCGTTTCCAGAAGGTTTGAGAGGGCTGAGTGGTGGGCAGAACTATGCACAAGGATTGGGGGTAAGGGCTTATGTTCCAGGAAAGCCTAGGAAGCTGATAATAGTTGCCCTCTAGACTATATTGGGGTTAGGTGGTACCTGGGCTGTGGAGGGGGGCAAGGGGTACCTTTCAACATAGAGGGCCAGGGAGGACAGATCTAGGGCAGTCAAGCCTGTGGGATGTGTCCCAGGGAGCTTGCAGACTGCTGGGGAAAGCTTGGATGCTGTCCTGAAACTGTCCCCCTGCCTGTCACCCTGACTTAGGTGAAGCTGCGTTGCCGGAAGGGGATTCCCTCCTCCCTCCGAGCCAAGGCCTGGCAGTACCTGTCTAACAGCAAAGAACTATTGGAGCAGAACTCGGGCAAGTTTGAGGTGTGTGCAGCTCCAGGATGTGGGGCCGGATGACCCTTCTGTGTGAGGGGTGTCAGCTCCCTCTGATCTTGAGATAAATCCCTGTTGTCCCACTGCAGGAACTGGAACGGGCTCCTGGGGACCCCAAGTGGCTGGATGTGATTGAGAAAGACCTGCACCGGCAGTTCCCCTTCCACGAGATGTTTGCTGCTCGAGGGGGACATGGGTAAGGTGGCCTGCCTGTGTGGATCAGTCAGCAAACATTCGTTAAAGGCTCCAGGTGGATAGAAGGCTGGGTTGAAAGTGGGTCTTGCCTTCTAGGACTTCTATTATAGAAGAGTGATTTTTTAAAAAAATTATTTTATTTAACTTTATTTATCCATTTATTTATTTATTTATTTTAATTTGACCAGAAAGGGATAGAGTGAGAGAGAGAGAGAGAGAGAGAGAGAAAGTGAGAAAGCAAGCCACCAGGTCTGGGACTTGAACCACAATCAACCATGTGGGAGTCCAGCTCCCTTAACCACCATGCCACCTGCTGGCCCCCAGAAGAGTGATTCTTAATGGATAGAGTGTCAAGTAATGTCAAAGGAAGTTTCCTGGGAGGGAGATGCTACTCTGGGGTTGTGTGTGTGTGTGTGTGTGTATGTGTGGAGGGGAGCATATCAGGCTGACTCAAGAGGTTGCATTGTATCTCATTTTTGAAGGATAGGTGGGTGAGCAGGCAGCCAGGGAGGGTTACATGAGCTATGTCTGGGCAGTAGAACTGAGACTGGAAAAGAAGTTTAGGGTTAGATCATGGTGAGCCAAGGCACTTGGAATTTTGTTCTGTAGGCCAGGCTCCTTCAAGGTGGCTTATATATCACTCCCTAGTAGTATACAAGATAATCTTAGGCAGTTCTCTGATGGCCACTTCTTATCAATAAGTTCATCCTTTTATACACTTTTTTTCTTTTTTTTTTTTTAAGTTTGCTGTAGGGTTCATGCACTTACCAGAGAAAGTAAGAAAGAAAGAAAGCGAGAAATCACTCCCCGGGGGTGGGGTATGGGGGGATGACCACATCATAATCGCTTCTCCTGCATTCTCCTCTCAGGACTTTGGACATGTATGCACACACATCTAGCATATTTTTCAAGCCGCTGGGTCCAGGACTCTTAACTGTGCAGTTAGCTCTGTGGGATCTAGTTCCTTTAATGCTATGCCACCTGGCTGGCTGCTTAGTACATTTATTGAACACCTGCTATCTGCCAGGCACTGCTCTAGTGAAAAAACTTGTCTTCATGGGGTTTGTTAAATGTTAGTGGGGATAGACAATAAGTCAGATAAAGAAGGAAAGTATGTTGTAAGTAAAATGGTGATAAGTACTGAAGAGGAGTTTAAAGCAAGGAAGGAGAATAGAGAATGTGAGTGGTGGGACCAGCAGTTAGTGTAATGGCTATGTCGCTGGACTCCCATGTAGTCGACCACGGTTCTAGTCCCGGACCCGGTGGCTTAAACTCACGCCGGACACATGTGAGTGCATGCGTGCCCAAGATCTTGAGAGGAGAATGGAGGAGAAGGGATTGCGGCGTGGTCATCCCCCCTGGGGGGGTGATTTCTCGCTTTTTGTCTATGTCTCCCTCTCTCTGCCTCTCTGGCAAGCGCACACGCCCTGTACCCAAAACCTCTCCAAAAAAAAGAGTGAGTGGGAATGGGGTTACCTGACTTGATATATGTTTGAAAAGGATCATTTGGCTGTTGTGTTGAGAACAGATTATATGGAGATAAGTGCAGAAATAGACAAACTGGGAGACTATTTCCATAATTCAGGAAAGAGATGATGATAGACTGTGATGGTAGTGGTGGAAGTATGGAGAGAAGTAGTTTGATTCTAGTTATATATATTTCTAATTATTTTATTTAACTTTATTTAATTTTATTTTAATTTGGCCAGAGATGGACAGAGTGTGAGAAAGAGAAAGGGAAAGTGAGAAAGCAAGCTGCCAGGTCTGGGACTTGAACCGCGGTCAGCCCTGTGGGAGTCCAGGGAGTCCACCATGCCACTTGCTGGCCCCGATTCTGTATATATTTTGAGAGTAGATGCAACATAATTTGCTAATGGATTAGAAGTGTGTCTGTGTGTAGTGGGGTAG